TTTTGGGTTGTTTTTTCTTTTATTTTTGTGGGTTTTTTTTTTTTTTTTTTTTTTTTGATCAGACTCAGAGAAAACACTCTTCTAATAGTCCCATGTCACGGCCTTTTGTACCATCCTGCAGAGTATTTGCTAATAAACTGCTGGAGAAACTCCTGCTAATTTATCAACAACAGAGATCATTAAGTGGCTGTAATACTCTCTCTGCTTTCCGTAGCAACCTTTCAGGCAAAACAAAATAAAACAAAACAAAAAAAAAAGGCATTTAAAACTCTCTCCCCTGTCCCTGACTCTCTTGCCTTTGCTACAGATTTTGGTGGCAGATAATTTCCTTCTTTTCCTAGCCGCTTCCTTGACAGGAGCCGTTTTCATTTATGTAAATTAGGCTCTCTGAAAGAGAATGTCGGTGAAATATTTTTAGAAGTCTTTTTCTTTGCAAGAAATAAAAGCTGAAGGTCACTTTTTTTTCCCTTTTTTTTCCCTTTTCTTTTTCCCTTATCTCTGTTAACTTTGCGTCCCCAGCTGCAGAGGCGCCCACGTGTGTTTCGCAGGTCCGCGAACCTTATGGTCAGCAGTTCTGCTGAGCCGTGTAGGAAGGAGAGAGAATTTAGATTCAATTGCTGCCTGACCCCAGGGTCCACACAGCCAAAGATGCCTTTGCACCTTTAATTCAATTATGGCATCGCCTGTTTCTTAATATAGCTGCTGCGCACAGGTCACGGGGAGCTGGAGCATCCGTCCAGAGAGCTGATGCGAAATGACTATATCGCTTGCTCTCTTTATGCTTTTTCTTTATTTGCCACCGTATTATAGTGACAAATGATGATACCTCTTCCCTGAGAAGCCATGACACAATGAGAGATGCATCACCCACATGATTTCATGTTTAACTCCAACAAAATTACAGGAGAAGCTTATTAAGTTTCTGTTCAGCGGTAATGATATATTAGGCAAAGTTCAAAGATAAATGGCCTTCTTTTTAAACAAGATTTTTTAAAAAAAAAAAATCTTTTCTGTTTTTTTTTTAGGTTTCTTTATGCAGCCTTTTGCGAGGCTGCACCTATTTGGACAGGCAAAAGGGTAGTGACAGTGTATATCATTTTACTTCTAAGGCTTGTGTTTTAGCCAAAAAACCAAGATATTATCAAGGTGAATTAGAGTTTTGTATGCTCCCAAGAAATCTCAAAGAAAATAAACACCTTGCGTTTTCATCCTTTTTTTTTCGCATTTGAGTCCCTCCCCTGTGCTACTCGCGGTGGCATACATGCAGCTGTGTTGCTACCCCACACATTTTTCTTTCCAAGGCTAGTAAGAAAAGCAAATGTCAGAAATTCAGTCCTTAAAAAAAAAAAAAAAAAAGAGAGAAGAATCACATTAGCTGCTGTAGTCTTTTTGCTAGTTTCCATAATGCTATCTCTACATGTGCAAACGCAACTTTGTACCTACAGATCACTTGCTTACAAATGAAATTATATTAGCAACAACACATTAACAACAGCACATGCATTGAATAGGTTTACTGAGACTCATAGCAGAGGTAGTAGGATTTAAGTTGGTTTTGAAACAGCATCCCTTCCTGAATGCAGTGACACACTAACCATTACTGGAACCACCAGTAGTAATTTGGCTTGATGACTTGATCTTTGCTGTTGTGAAGCTTGCCTTGACGGTTAAACTTCCTGGGAAGATATCAGAGAGATCGGCCAGGTTCTATCTTAACCAGAAAAACTTGTCCAGAGCTGAGAGAAAAACACACATTTTTCAATATAGAGATTGTAGTTGAATTTGTGGTATGAAAGTATCCAAAGAGATGAGAAGAGAAGAGGGACTAAGGACAGGATCTTAAGATATGGGCATTTTTATTTTGTTATTGCTTGGCGTATATTAAGTGCAAGAAGCACTTGCAAACAAAGTGCTTGCATCTTGAAAGGTGCTGTTGGAGAGAGTGTGTTTGAGATCCTTTTAGAAGTTTTGTCAAGAATGCTCTTTGTTTCTTCGTTTTACACAGAAGCAGTGTTACTATGGGCACTTACATTGCTAACCATCACACAGACTATTTTGAGAAAACCCAGATTTATAGGAGCAATGTTTTCAAGAAGACCTGAAATTTTGCTAATGGCAGCATAAAATAACATAATGCTATGACTCAGTTTACAGGATACCTTTATTAGTCAATATTAATTGCTGACAGTATTGATAGAAGTTATAGCCTTTAGCTGAAGTCAATATGGAGCTTTATGAATCTGCCATCAATAGAAGATTTTATGGGGCCCATTAAGCCAACTTTTCCAATGAAGGTTAATGTCTGCAATTTTTATGCTGTTCATTATTTATCCAAAATAAATAATCAGAATTTGCTTCTGTTGTTTGTAAATCCAAAGCCATCAAAGCATGGCTCTACCGAGATATTTATCATGTTCTTGGAAAATGTATTCTCTGAGAAGCTTTGATTTTCTTTGAGGTGTGGAGATGCCTGAAGGAGCAGAGAGAGGCTGCTCCATGAGCACAGCCATAGCCCACCCCTCTATCTTTAAGAAAACTGAAGAAATGATCTGGTCCCATGGCATATTGCAGTCCATAAATCACTTGCACAAGCAGCTGGCATGAAAAGCCAGACATGGCTTTATCTAAACTGTTCCCAGGCTTCCCTCTGACTAGGTTAAGAATTTGTTCTTAATGAAGAGTTAACTAAGTTACATCCCAGGGTTGTCCTGAAATCAAACCCTACACACACAAACAGATCCAATGACCTTCCTGCGGCTGGGTACTGCCTTTCTCTCAGCCTGACTGGTCTCTATGCACAGCAGAGGGACAGAGGGGACAGCTCAGGTCACCACACCATACCCCTGGCTAACATGTTCACACTGTGCTGCTCACATAAATGCTTAATGAAGTTCAAGGGTTATTTTGAAGTGTGACCATCTGTGCTAAGCTGAAGCTGTGAACTCACATGAACAGTTCAAAACCATGCACAGGGAGGACTTTGGGTCCTTGAAGTACAGCAGTAGTTCGCTGAAAACCTTGTTTCTCAGTAAGATTCACATGAAGTGGTCATTTGGATCTGATGCTGGAGATGACTTAACTTGTATTACGCTAGGTAACCCTGAATAGCCTTTGCATTGAGCCAGCAATTTTGTTTATCATAGTAAAAAGGACAATGAGGGAGAACATGAGGGACAATGAGGGAGAATGCGGCCATTTGGTTAGGTACTGAAAGCAAGATGTTGCTCATCGGAAAGGTGTAAAAGTATAGATTCACAAAATAATTCAGTTGAAAGGCCTCTGGAGGCCTCCAGTCCAGCTTCCTCTTGCTTAAAGCAGCACTAACTTTAAGGTTAGCTCAGGTGGCTCAGGACCTTCTCCAATTACATTCTGAGTATCACCCAAAGGATGATGATCCCAAGACCACTTTGTCATGGTTCCAGGGACCTTCAGCTTCATCTGCCTTTCCTTGCCCATGTCATGTAGGTACTGGAAGGGCTTGTGAGACGAGTCTGGGGAGCTCCAGTACTAAAAGGTTTTAAGGACAGAATAGATTGAAAAAAAATCTCTCGGGAATGGTCTAAATAAGCTGGGTGGATGGACACTGCCTCAGTTGGGTTGATTGTGCATGTTGGTCTTCAGCATTTTTCTTTCTCTGCTTTCAGTAACTTGTAGCACTGCTGAGCTTTCTTTGGCTATAGGTGTATGTTGCTCACAGTGGTCTTTGAGCACTTCATGCCTAGAGCGTTTCTTAGCAGAAGCAGAGATGGACGGTATTTGTGTATAAGCAAAAATCTAAATATCATTTCTCCGGCGAGAGATTTTACACCAGATCTGCCCAAGATGTCATGAATCACGCCCATAGTCCCCTGACAGATCTGAACATGAGAGCTGACCCAAATATGTTGATATTCCCGCACAGAATCCTTTCCCAAGAAAAGAGGAACATTTCTCTGTCTGCCTTAAATACGATAAAGAGCTTACTGCTTTATTCAGTGCCTCTGCTTCAGGATTACATTAGAACTGGGCCAACTGCTTTTTTTTCTTGCCTTTTTTTTTTTTTTGTAAAAGTGGAGTTTCAACCCTTTTCTAAAAGCACAGATTATTTTTCAGCCATTTCAGAAAAGCTTGGGCAAGCGAAGGATTCTTGCTCATTTTAATCTGGCTTGGTGTTAGCTTCCACCAAGGATCCCAGTTGGTTAAGCACGCGAGTGAGCCGGAGAGCGCGGGAGCGTTTTCCTCATTAGCGCGACAGGTCGGCAGTGATTAATGTCCTGCTCATGTGTGGAGCGGAGCTGATGTTTCTCTCTGCCGTCATCTCCTCTCGGGAAGAATGTGGGTAGTATCAAGAGGCCAGCAGGATCTCACAGACAGGATAAGTAACATCAGATGGCTCGAGACAGTCCAAGATCGCTGGAGACTCTGTAGAACCGCACGCTGAATGGTGATGTATTGGACAAAGAAATTATGGCAGCGTAAGTGTTGCTGGAGTGTGGAATTTACTTATCTCGCCGACCTAGAGATAAGTGGACATGAACTCAAATTCCAGATTTAACCACCCTGGAAGCCAAAATTCGGGCTCCAGGCTTGTTGCCGCGCTGGGTTCCCTCTTTGCATCTCAACAGCGCAAACATTTGCTGGGAAATGTACCTTTTCTGTCCCAAAATAATCCTGACAATGCTTCAGGTTTGCAAAGGGGGTCAGACCAGCATTGCTGGGCACAGATCTGCACACTTCCACTGTACATCCGCTGGCTGCTGCCTTTTAGGATGAACAATTTAATCTTCAGGTCCATTTGTCTTTGGCTTCACCTCTGATATCACTAGTCAGTGCCAAATGTGGTATTGGGACTGTAGCTATACAGACACTTAGTCACTGGTGACAAGATTAAGAGCGCCAATTCATTTTACATAGCTGGACCAACACCCCACAGAGAGAAATAATTTTTCTTTTAGTCACTACTATTC